TTTTTTTAATTTGGCTTGATTAGGAATTTTTGTATCGGCAGGGAGCTCGTGTTAGAAACTATTCCTAACATTTAGGAGTATTGTTTTGTTCCTAATTACCTGTTAGCATACTGTCTTAGTGAAGGGATCCATCAGCTGTGGTTGTTTCTGCAGATGCAGTCTATGTAGGAGTGGTACTGAGGATTGGGCCCAGTGTCCTGAGCACATGTGTGGATGGTTTAGCTATTGAGCTATACTGTTAGTGCACCTCAATCCTACTGTAAATCAGTTCTACTTGAATACAGAAAACACCTCAATTTGAAAGAATAAGGATTAAAATACCTAATCATGGACTGCAACCCAGATAAGTCCCAATAAGCATAAGAAACATGAAAAATTAAAGCAATGTGAGTTGTTCCAAAAATAATTCATTCTACAGTGGTGAATTCCACTGCAAGTGAGGTATGTGGAATCTCAAATAACTCAACAGAATGATTGTAAGAATGTTCAATAAAGTCAAAGATGACATGAGTAAACTGAATGATTTCAAAGAAAATTAAATAATCGGCTGAACAAAATAAGACAGTATAGGATACAAAAGGGAAATTCAATAAAGAAATAGAAACCCTGACGCTGGAGAGATGGTTTGCCCTGCATAAGGCCTGCAGTTCTTATACCCAGAATCTATGTAAATGCTAGGTGGGCATGGTGGGCCACCTGGAATTCCAGCCTGGAAGGAAGGCAGAGAGGGGGTCCTCAGAGCAGCTGCCTAGCCAGACTCACGCAGGTGAGAGCTGGGTCTGGGTGAGACGATGCCTCAATGAAAATAGCCAACGTAGGGGCTGGAGAGATGGCTCAGTGGTTAAGAGCACTGGCTGCTCTTCCAGAGGTTCTGAGTTCAATCCCCAGCAACCACATGGTGGCTCACAACCATCTGTAATGAGATCTGGCGCCCTCTTCTGGTGTACAGGCATACATGGAGGCAGAATGTTGTATACATAATAAATAAATAAATAAATCTTTAAAAAAAAAAAGAAAAAGAAAACAGCCAACGTAGTTGGGGATGATTCCCACATGCTCACACATGTACATGCTCACTTGCACACAATGCAAACATGTATATACATAAGCATATACAACACACACACATGCAAGAAAATGGGGGAAACAGACATAAAAAATAGGAATTTTAGAAAACCTCAACGTGTCAAAAAATTCAGTGGAAATTCTCACCAATAAAACAGAACAAATGGAAGACAGAAAACTGGGTTCTGGAAATAAGGTAGATGAAATAAAACAGGCAAAAATGTAAGAACATGTGAGAACTATGGAACATCATCAAAAAGTCATGGTGCAAGGACAAGAACCAACACCTAATGATGTCCACAAGGTCACCCACTCATACTCAATGCACAAACACAGACATCCACAAAACACACGTAGATGCCTCCACTGAGATATTTTAAAAAAGAAAAAAACATAGCAAATATTGCTGTTTTTAGAAAAGGGAATCTTTATACACTGCTGATGAGAATGTAAAGCAATTCAGCAAATATAGAAAAAATTAAAAACAGAACTGCCATATTGGTTCAGTGATCCCACTCCTGGCAAATATACAAAAAATTCAAACTAATATACTACAAAGAGACCCCCACATTCATGTTTATTGCATCACTACTCACAACAGCCACCTTTTGTAATTAGCCTAAGTGTACATTAACAGGTAAACAGTGGAGGAAATGAAACACATAAACAAAATAGTTTTGTTTAGCCATAAAGAATGAGACTATGGTGGTGGCGCTGGGGAGACTGTCAGTAGGTTAAGTGTTTGCCTGCATTTGTGAAGATCCGAGTTAGACTTGCCAGGACTCATGCGAAAGCTGGGCCCAGTGGTGCACGTCTCTAATCCCAGTGCCCCTACAGTGAGATGGGAGAACACAGGAGAATCCCCAAAAGCTACTGGTACAACGAAGAGACCATGACTCCAAACAAGGACAGTGAAGGTTGTTTTCTGACTTTCATACTCCTGCCTGCACTCACATATACACCACAAATATATCCACTGTGCATGTGTGCGCGCGCACACACACACACACACACACATGAATGGAATACTGTCATTTGCCTGGAAATGGTACAACTGAAGATCACTATGTTAAGTAAAAAAAAGACCTGACTAAACAAGAAAAGTATTGCTGTTTTCTCTCATATGTGGAACCCAGCTTTTACAGATGAAAGCATTTACATTTGAAAATGAGTGTGTGTGACATGAAGTAGGAGTGTCTTAGAAAAGGAAGGGGACAAGTAGGAGGGGAAGAAAGTGAAGGATTTAAAGACAGTAAATATGGCCAAATATATACTTATAAAGTGTTTATGAAATCCATCATAATGACGATGACTTTACATATAAATATATGTATGTGTGTACACACACATATGTATGTATGTGTGTACACACACACACATATGTATATATGTTTGGCTTTTCAAGATAGGGTTTCTCTTTGTAACAGAGTCCTGGCTGTCCTGGAATTCACTTTGTAAACCAGGTTGGCCTCGAGCGCATAGAGATCTGCCTGCCTCTGCCTCCGGAGTGCTATGGTTAAAGGTGTGTACTACCATGCCCATCTAATAAAAATAATTTTTACAGTCACCCCCATAAACACTCTCAGTACAAAATCCATGGGTGGGGGAGACATAAAAAAAACAGGAAAGTTAGACACAAGCTTGAAACATTTATATCTCTAAGTTAAAATAGTGGTTGTTCTTGATAATAATCACCTTAAAAGTCAACAGGTAACTACATCTACAAAACACCGAGATTATCATCAGATTAAATATTAGGTACTATAGCTTGAGTTGACATATTAGTCATCACTCATAGATTCTATTAAATATTCCTTTCATCCCTAGAAAAATCCTTTTTAAAAGAATATTTTATTTTCTGCTTTGAAGAGATGTCAACTTTCAGCTCGGCAGACATAGTTAATCAGGAGAACTGTCACTTTTTGGAGGGACTATTTAGAGAAACTAAACAAAACCCTACACTTTCTGTCCCCACAGAACAAGATCATTCTTAAGAAGCTCCAACATCTTATCTACATGTTAGAAACAATGTTTCAAACACTATATTCAATTCAACAACAGAAACCACCCATTAAAAGTGCACCTCGGAGAGATATAGTCTCACTTTCTTACAAATGGTTTCAAATAAATTCTGTTGCATTTAAACATAAGATAAACATTTTCCTTCTTGGCGCTTCAGTCATTCATTAAGCAGGCACTATGTAGCAGGTGCTGTTTAATGAACCAGAGCTAAGTCACTGAGGAACATGATGGCTCCAGTCTGGGCGGAGCTCATAATCTGGCAAAGTAACATCCTTAGCCAGCTGTTTTCTCTACAAACCTGACAACTCGAGTGTTAAAAATTGTGAAAAGAATTTCGAAAATCTGTGTGTTGGGCAACTTTCAGTTTTGAGTGTGACCTTCTTAGGACACCCTGTCTATTATTAGCATAGAGGTCCTGGGTCCTGGTGTCACCATTTCCTAGACTGACCTTGGCAAACAAGCTTAATCCTCATCTGTAAAACAAAATAACTCTAACTACCCAACTGGGTTACACAGGAAAATGAGGAAGGACTGTGTGAGACAGCAGGAAAATACGAATTTATCAGCTATTATTTCAACCCAATTTCCAGAAAACCAGAGAGCACTCAGACAATAATGAGGATAAAGGTACCGCTTAGGACATTTTCATCCGTCACAGATTGTTCCCACTTTAATAGTTCAAGAATCCTTTCTCCAACAAGTCATTCTATGTGCATCAAAGTCTACAAAAAGGTAAAGTTTGAGTATCTCCTTCAAAACATCAACTCATTATGGGAATCGTATAAACATGGAGTTAAGAGGCTTTAAATTCATTAAGAGAAAAATTTAATACTTGTGCGGTCGGTGTCTGCCTGTATTGCCAGCATTTGGGAGGTCTGACACAGGAGGATCATGAGTTTAAGTCCAGCCTGAGCTACATAATGAAAGTCTGTCTTTAAAGTTTTTTAAAGTCAAAATTAGGCTAATTTTCTCTAAGATGACAGTCGCAGTTATCTGGGGGAAAAGAACAAAATAAAACAAGACTCAATCACTGGATCCAACAATGCTTCAATGTGTAGGCAGCGCAGCACGCTGGGGCTACAAGACCTTTCTTTGCATTGGTCAATACTCACGAGCGGAAATTAACTCTTAAACTGGATAATGGCAGGTAGTAAAATACACAATCCCAGTTATCTGAAATTGATTTCTCATACTTGTTAGAAGGGAAGTCGTTTAAGGGTTGTAAAGGACCTCAGAAGGGCTAATGTCCACAAACTGCAAGTGGAAGCTATACACTGCAAAACTTGACGACGCCAAGGCCATACTAATAAAATTGCCGACGACCAAATAGGTAGACTAGCAAAACACACTTTCAAAGCTGCTTTGGAAGGATCAAATTTGCTGAAGAGCAATAAAGGCTACATTGTAAATCTGTGGGTTTCCCTACAACTTTGACGGAGGGCTGGTGAGGCACGTTAATGTGTTTGGTACGTAAACTACCTCACGCCACAGGGAAGATTCTAACCCTGACTCTTATCTTGGGGTGAAAGCCTGTAACGAGAGTGGGGCCCGACTACAATCAAGGCGATAAGAAATGGCCTTCTAGTCCCAAAGGTGAAACTGTTGGTTATTTTGGAAAGGACACCCCGACTAGCAAGGACGGACGGAAGAGCAGGGCGTTAAGAACCACAGCGCGAGAGGGTGGAAAAGCGGCGCCGGGGGAGTGAGGTCTGCCAGGACTCCTGAAGGACCCAGGACAGGGGTGACCTCTTTCGAGCGGCTTCGGCGGTGGGGCGCTGACGACTCCCGCCTGCAGGAGGGAGGCCGCCACTCACCGTGCGCGGCGCGTCCCGCTGCCGTCAGACCCACGTCCGCGGTGAAGGTGCCCTCCGGCCCCCTCCAGGAGCCCCACGGCCAACAGGGACCCAGGCTACCTCTCAGGATGTGGGAGGGCGGTCTCCACGGAATCCCGCCGCACGGGCCGGATGACGCTGCCTCTCCAAGGCGTCCCGGCCGAGCGTGGGGCAGGGTGCCGTGTCGCAGGGCTCAGGCCAGCACTAGGCCTCCACCGCCCAGGCCAGCCGCGCCCACTAGCAACGTGCTCCGACCCTCCGTGCCCGCTCGCAGGTCCACAGGGCACGCCGCCGCGCGAGGAACCATGGGACTCGTAGTTCCGGCGGGGAGGAAGCCACGCTCCAGGGTCTGGCTCTCCAGTTACGAATCCCGGGCGCACTCCCCGGAAGTGACGTAACAAGGCACGCGTGGCGCCGGCCGGCGTTTCCGCAAACAGAATCGTGGATGTCTATGTGGGTGAGTGTGGCGTTCGGCGTTCTGGCCTGTCCTTGATTCTTTGTCTTTAGCCTTGCGCGCCTAGAGCACAACCAGGCCGAATGCCTGGCCGAACACTTGGCTGGGTTCTGCCTCCTCCCTCCGGTCCCTGCCTCGTGGGGTTTATTGTACCCATAGCCGGAAGCAGTGTGGACGCTGCTTGTCTTGAGACTGTGGGCGCTGTTGCTCCTCCTGACCACACTAGTCCAGGGAGGAGAAGCTCCGGTGCTTGTGCTCGGGCCGAGGGGCTGTGCTGAGGCTGCGATGGGCCGGATGTGGTGGTGGGAGCCAAAGAGGGTTTGTTCTGTCCGGAGCAGTGCTGTAGGAACCTGAACCAGAGGTTGAGTAACAGCTGGGCCGGGGTGGAGGTGGGGACAGGTGAAGCAGTGGAGAACTGCTTGCCTCCCACCCCCTTTCTGTTTCATTGATTTGTACCCCCGCTCTAGACCTTCACGGTGATCCGTCGAGGTCATGCTTGCCCGTTAGCTAGCAGGCAGAAACTGGGATAACCAAGAAAAATATGATTTACTTTAGGGGCGAAACCGAATATATGGAGGGTCATAGCCTTTGCACACCCCAACAAGCGCGTTTCTGCCACCTCAGTAAACCAATTAAAAGTGCCTAGTTAATAATGAAAAGCAGAAAAAGGAGGCTTACTCTGTGTGACACTTTGGGAAGTGGCACCGAGATTATCCATATAATAACCATTCCATCTTTGTGGGTCCTGAAATGAGGGTGAGGTCTACATAGGAGGCAAGAAAAATGCAGTCTGGCCAAGGTGTGGTCCCGCCTACCGTTTCCCATCTTTTTCCCTTTCTGTAAGGTGTTCTCACTCTTTTCCTGGCTTCTTTCCCTTGTCTCAGACTAAGATTCCTAGAGGAAATAGTCATTGATATTCTCTCTATCGCCTGTCCCTCTGCTTCGTGTGCCCCCCCACTCCCCCATGTTCAGTGTTTCAACAGTTTAATGGATCAAGACACCTTGGTATCTCTTTAGAATGTCTTGATTTCTGTGAGGCAAGTTAGTGTGATTGCAGCCAGGTCAAAATACCCATCTCCACGTCAGTCTACTTTTTACCATAAATTCTTCTCCATTGTTCCATCCTGATATCTGCCTTTCAAGTATTTTCATTATTATCATTGATAATTTATTATTATAATTATTGCTGCAAAGCTAAGTCTCTAAACTAGAGCCTAGAGAATGCTAATGTGAACCAGAATTCCTAGAAGGAAGCTGTGACTACTAAACTCTTGACTGATTTTTAGAAATGGAGTGATTCGGATAAAATGGAATGTTACCGGTCCAGATCCTGCTGATCTTGGCCCATCTCTAGCCTCCCTTCTAGCCACTCTGCTCTGTATGCGACCTAACATTTTGTGACCATTGGGTAAATCTTTAGGAATGTATAAACAGACCTCTGGTTCTGACCACCTAAAAGGCCAAGGATTCTGTCAGATAGCACTTGGGTCCTATAGCTGAGATTTCCTTCTTTTCTGTGACCCACGTACCTGATATTTCCACCAGTGTATTTGAGATTTAGGATTCTCTTTCTTCTGTTACTATAAAATTTGCTGGAACTGTTAACATGTTAGAACATGGAATTTGAGTAACCTAAATCAGTGTCCCTTAGCCACTGTCACACAAATTTGGCTCCAGAATAAACTATCTCCTATCCTCTTTGAGGTAAGAGCTATTGCTTTCTTGTATATCAAATAAAGTACTCTATAATTGAGTTGTTTAACACATAATCCTAGACATTCATAACCATTTTGTAGTTTTGAATGCTTTTATGATAGCTAATCTGTGGAAGTATAGACTGTCTAAATAAAATTCACCCTTAAATACCAATTCTAATTTTAGGCAATAATTACAGCTAATGATAACATTTTGCATGGTAAAATAAGTAAAAATAGACATTAAGTGGCAGAGGAGAAGTAGTAGTTTTCATAAAATCCTTGGTACTGATTTGTAGTAGTTACTCTGTAACTGATCTTCCTAGTTGGTTTGCTTCTATTCTCTAGTTCAGTTGTTCCTATGTAACATGTTTTGGTATTCTGTTACTTTGAGTCAATACCCAGAAGTTAGTGACAATGAATGTCCTGAAATCCTTCCCTGTTTCCAGTGACTCGTTGTTTACCTGTTCATGTAACTACTGTTGTCTTTTCTTTATGCAGAAGACCTTTAAGAATGATTTACCCTTAGATACTTTTCTAGTGTTGTGATAAGACACTGAGGAAGACAATCATTTAGTAGAGTTTATTTGGGGCTTCTAGTTTCAGAGAGTTTGGAGTCCATGGCCATCATGTCAGGGACATTGAAGCAGGCAGGCAGGCAGGCAGGCAGGCAGGCATGGTGCTGGAGCAGTAGCTGAGAGTTTACATTGATTCAGAAGCACAAGGCAGAGTACTATATCTGGGCATGGCCTGACTTTTGGAACTACAAAGCCCACTCATGGTGACATGACCTCCTCCATCAAGGCCACACCTTCTAGTCCTTCCTAAACTGTGGCACCAACTGAGACTAAGCATTCAAATATATGCACCTATGGGGCCATTCTCTTTCAAACCACTACATGTCTTTATTACTTTTAGAACCTGAAATTTCATGGTCTCTCATTTTTTTGATTTTTGATTTCCCTTTTCCATTTCTTTCAGTAACACAGCTTGATAGTTTAGTAGAAGTGTTTAAGCTGTGAATTTAGTGACTATAGTTCATTTTACACTTCTTTGTAGTACTAGTTTGGCTTATTAATTGAAGGAGCTCTAAGGAGGCCATTAACAATTCCCTTGTAATGGATGACCTTCTCCTTCCTCCCATTTTACACATATGCCTTAGAACATATTTGAAGCATCTTAATGGTTGTTACAATGAAGACTGAATCTTAAAGGTGTTCTAAATCTGTTTCCACTCTTCACTTTCTGTACAATTACAGGGTTTATTATTAAATAAGGATTTCAAGAATCTTAGCTTCCTGTATTATTTTTTGCATAGACTGCCTAAGGGAGCTACTTATAGAAAGGAAGGATTTATTTTATGATTTTGGAGACTTTGGCCCATGCTACTTGATTTTGGTGATGTGGAGCCTATTTAAGGCAGACTGTTATGCTGGTGAGTGTGTAAAGGAGGGGGCAGTTTACATCATGGTAGTCAAGTAGTAATTACTGATAACGAGGCATAGTTTACATCCCTTCTCCAAACAGCCCTTAACTCCCTAAAGTCTCTGGAACCCCCAAAATAGTGCTACTAGCTGAAGACCAACCAAACATTCAACACATAAGCCTGTGGGGGAAGTTTCACAAACAGCAGCAGTACCTGTGCTCCAGCCTCAAATTCTGATAATGGAAATGCATACAGCTCACTCTTAGTATCTAGCGTTAGCAGTTCCAGTGCTGTCCAGAAGTCTATGTGCCAGGTCTCTTGACACTCGGGGCAGGCCCTTTGCTGTGAGACTAATTACATGCTAATGCAGATGGGAACCCAAAAGATAAGAATGCCAGCAGGAGTATTGTACAGTGAGCCAGGCTTACAAGATCTCAGGGAACAGGGATGTTTTGGGGGAATCGGCTATTCATTCATACTGGCCATTCATTCATACTATCCATTAATTCATACTACGCTCTGGTAAAGAATTTGTAAAGATTTGTTCCTGCAGTGAAACTTTGTCTTAGGCTAAGTTTCAAGCTAACAGACTAATTAACCTAGTGGAAGAAATGTCAGCATTCAAGGTGTTGCATGCTTTTTTGTTGTTATTGCTTTTTGAGATGTGGTCTCACTATGTAGCCCTAGCTGGCCTTAAACTATGTGGACTTGGTTCTAACTCACAAAGATCCTTTGATCTTTACCAGCCAAGTGCTGGGATTAAAGGCACATTAAAACTGTTCTCAGCTTGTAGCATGGTTATCACTTTTGACTAGCTTTACAGGGAGAATTAAGAGCAGAAACCTGAAGTTTGACAAAGTTACCTTGTTACAACATACTAGGTCCACATATACATATTGTTTCAAAGTCTTTCCTCATATCTGCAACAAATTGTCAAGTAGTCGTGTATGGCAACCCCACTTCTCTGGTGGCAACTGCACTTCTCTGGTATTAGTAACTTTTACATCACTATGATGCCAGAGAAAGCAATTTAAGGAAAGCAGGATTACTTTGGCTTGTATTATTTGAGTTTCAGTTTGTGATTGACTCTTGTACTTGGGACAGAATACTATGGCATCAGTAGTGTGTGACCAAGGAGTTTCGTTTTATAGTGACAGGAGGCAGAAAGGCAGTTGTCATGGATGGGCATAACTTACACTGGTATCTCTCCAGTGACCTACTTCCTCCAAACTAGTCCCCATGTTCATATTATGCATATATGAGCACTTTTTAGTCCTGGTGTGTGTAAGCTTTTGGCATGATGAAACAATGCCATCTACAAAGTTCATGTTTGAGATTTTCACCAAACCGTTTATATAATTTTTGTGTTGGATCATATTTATAGCTATAACGAATGACCATAAGTGTCCTGGACCATAGATAGGTTAGATATAACTGCATGACTGAAATTGTTTAAACTCCTGGAACTAAATAACCAAGTTGATCAAAATTATCATAGAGTCTCAGCATTTGTGTTTATAAATAATACTTTTTTTTATTTTTTTCTTTTTGGACCATTCCAGTGTTGATTCATGACGTTTTGCTGTCAGTTCAAGTAACCTGAAATGGAAAGCTCTGCAAAAACAGAAAAATATGAAAAGATGTCTTTTGACAAGGCAAAAGTGTCCATGGATTCTGAAACAGAATCTCCTCCAAGTGTTAATGAATCCATTGCTGCATCTGGGCCAAGGCTTTCTGAGAAGACTCCTGCATGCCAGCAAGTAGAGAAACCAAAAGTTAGGAAAGAGTTTGAAGGTGATCTCGTGGAGGAAAATTCGAGTTGTGTGGAGCACTCCCCATCCAAGAAAAGAAAACTCGATGTTGAAAACGAGGAAAAATGCTCTGGTGATGATGGAGGTGTTTCAAAGAAAAGGAAACTGGAAGGGGGTGATGTTCCCGAAGACGAGCCTTCCTCTGGAGGGACCACCCAGAGAAAGAGAAAACTACAGTCTGAGGATGTTGCAGAAAAGCGGAAAGTATGCTTCGTGTATTTTATTTGTAATTCAGTGCTCTAATCACAAGGGTGGTACAGCTGTGGGTATGTGTGTATGTATGTATGTGTATGTGTGTATGAAGATACGTATATATCTTAAGACACAATAGACTCAACTCTTAAAATTTGTTAAGGTGAAAGTTATACTGTGATCATTTTCATTTTATTTTGGAACTTTTATTTTAACCAGAACCTTGAAAACTAGTTTAATAAAAGCAAACTATAGAATTTTTTTTTAAAGATGGCAGTATGCGGTCCACTTGATTTTTTTTTCTTCTTTTCTCTTTTATTTAAAAATTTATTTATTTTATGTGCATTGGTATTTTGCCTCAATCCATGTCTCTGTGAGTGTGTCAGATCCCCTGGAATTGGAGTTCCAGACAGTTGTGAACTGCCCAGTGGGTGTTGGGACTTGAACCTTGGTCCTCTGGAAGAGCAGCTGGTGCTCTTAACCGCTGAGCCATCTCTCCAGCCCCCCCATTTTTGTTTTCATTTTTTTGATTGGGTGTTTCAAGTTGCCTGATGATCACTTAAAGTAATAAATGTCAGAGTTGTGCCCAGCTTTCTTCAGTTCTGAACTGTAGTTGTTTCCAGCTTCTAGTTGGTTTACATAGTTATTTAGTATAATTTTGGTTAAGTTGAAAAGGCTGGTGTGGAGCAAATGCTAACAAACACTTATCACATCGGGAAGGATTCTGAGCCAAAATCTGCTACTGGAGACAGAATACTTAAATAATAGTAACGTTTGCTATCAGGCCTGAAGAAGAAAGTAACAAGCCAGGCTTTCATCGGTGGTGTTCTTGTACAAACCTGAGATAATAGGTTAACCTTAGGTTTTGGAACTTATACTGGTAGATTTTTTTTTCAAGTAAAAATTTACCGTTAAATTTGACCTGTGAAGACGGAGACCCACATTGGAGCACCGGACTGAGCCCCCCAAGGTCCAAATGAGGAGCAGAAGGAGGAAGAACATGAAAAAGGAAATCAGGACCGCGAGGGGTGCGATCACCCACTGATACAAGGGGACTGATCTAATGAGAGTTCGCCAAGGCCAGTTGGACTGGGACTGAATGAGCGCGTGATCCAACCAGATTCTCTGAATGTGGCTGGATTCTCTGAATGTGGCTGGCCCGGAGTCTTTCTGAAAAGCCATTGACAGTGACACTGGGACTTGTTTCCTCTGCATATACTGGATTTTTTGGGATCCAGTCTGTTTGGATATTCACCTTCCTGGACCTGGAGGGAGGGGGGAGGAACTTGAACTACCCACAGGGCAGGAAACCCTGACTGCTCTTAGGGATGGAGAGGGAGTGGGAGGGAGTTGGGAGGGGGGCGGAAATGGAAACTTTTATAATTTAATAAGCTTTGAAAAAAAAATTTGACCTGTGAAGTAAGTAAAGATGGACTTTTAACAGGGAGATGGCAAGTGCTGGAGTCCTTTACCCACTAGGAATTGTTATAGAAATCCAGGGTTTTATAAATGCAGACAGAAAACTGATGATTAGAGTAATAATGAGTAGTAAAAGTCACTGATATTGAGTGTGACTACTAAATTCTAACTTCCCAAATATATGCATATTATAAAATCATAAAAATAATTTCCTACTAATAGTAAAGTATAATAGCTTATTTTTCTTTCTTTTAGGAAGTTGATCCATTGACTGTAATTTATTGTTGAATAAATTGGAACTCTGGAAAAAGTAGTTTTCTTAGAACATGTAGACTTAGATTATATATATCATGATGAAGACTTAAGCTGGGAGATTTTTTTTTTAATAAGGAATCAGGGAAACACCACTTAGGTGTGGTAGTGGTTGCTGTATTTCTGTGAAATTCCCTTCAGCTGTGTTTGTCCTTCTGCAGTCGGGTGGTATAGGGCTTTTGCTGATTTTCTAGGTCATGCGCTGACCCTTGACTTTTGTCCTTTTGGTTACAGAAACTGGAGGAAGGACACAGCTCTGCTGTTGCTGCCCACTATAACGAGCTTCAGGAAGTGGGTTTGGAGAAGCGCTGTCAGAGTCGCATCTTTTACCTAAGAAACTTTAATAATTGGATTAAAAGTATCCTTATTGGTATGATTGTTTTTTACCCTTTAGTTAAGAGAGTTAAAATTTTATTGAATTACATTTTACAGTGCTGGTCACTGAAGCCAAGGGTGTATGCATTGAACGTGCTCTACTTAGCTGATCCACAGTCCATTACTTTGGTTTTTTCCCTTCCATTTTTAATCATATATTAAACTACGAAGGCTATTATTTGTTTTTCATTTTGTTGGCTTTTAAAAGCGAGAGAGCCATAAGTAGGCCCTCCAGTAAGTTATTGTTTGCTTTTGGTTTATTATATGGGATATTAATAGTGTGTAGTTGAATAGTAAGTTAAACAGGCTTTGGTTTGACGGTGTGCTTCTTTGTACTTAGAGTCCATGCTACCTGAAACTGTTATATAACTGTCTTACTCTAATAGTTTGAGTGTGGTGGCTCATGGGAGTGAACATCGCATTTTGTTATGTCAGGAAAGACTGTTACTATGACTCCACCTACAAGCTTTAGTGAGTTGTCATCACTTATCATAGAGCTTGTTTGTCTTTTGTGATTCCTTGGGGGAAATATTGTTTCCTTTGATGATTGATAAAGACATACAGCGTTGAAGCTAACATGTCTATGGAAGCTCACCTTTAAAATTAAAATGGAAATAATTAGAGAAAATATGATTTAGAATGTAGTATTGTTTCCTCTAGTTAAATCAGACTTGAATGTAAGTTTAGAGAAATTTTAAGAATGCAGTTTTAAAGTTTGTTTGTAGTCAAGTTTTTTGTTGCTTTTTTTCCCTTTTTGTTCGATTTTTAATTAATGCAAGTAAAGTTAAATTGGAATTCTGGCAAGTTGACTTTAAAAACGTTTATACATTTAACATGTCATTTTGTTATTTTGGTGGATAAGTATAAGATTCATGACAGAAATATGGAATACATATGGTGCTATTAAAAGCTACTGTAATATCTATGTTGAAAGGCAGAAATATTTTACTGAATATTTTAGCCACCCAAATAGTGCATACATAAATGATAAAGTATACAGAGTGATAAAACAGGAAGAATAAGTGTCAGATTCCTTGTATCAAGGTTAGTACTGCTGAATACTTCATTTATCTCAGACTATTAATAGGCCTGTTAAACCATTGTTTGAACTTTTGCCTGTTTTTGAGGTAAAAGATAGTTTTTGGGTATTTCTTAAGTCCGAGTTTAGAGAATAAGAATCGATTACTGCTACCTGTAAACAAGTCAGTTTAATGTGTGAAATTAAACATTGACTTATGGGAAGAAGTAGAGAAAGCTGCAAGAAATACAAATTAGTTTCTCTCTTTTTTGCAAAAGTTGTAGCTTTTTTTTAAAATTAGAACTTAAATCTATTTAATGTTGACTCAAATTTTGAAAGCATCCTTCAGAAAACCATTTTAACCTTGTAAATGGTAAATATGTTCTCTAATGCTAAAGGATCAAGTTAGTTATTCTGTTAGATTTTGGAATACGAGATTACAAATTGATGATACATTACTGTATTTTAGTTCATATGTTTTGTCAGACAGGAGTTGCTGTAGTAAAAATCGAGAAAATGCATTATAATTATTTTATCTCTTTTTTTAGGGGAATTTTTAGAAAGGGTACGGCAAAAGAAAAATCGTGACATTACTGTTTTGGACCTAGGATGTGGAAAAGGTGGAGATTTGCTCAAGTGGAGAAAGGGGAGAATTAGCAGGCTGGTGTGTGCTGGTAAGACAGAAACTGACATGGCAAAGAGTGACTCTGGGGACCCTTGAAATGGCCCAGTGGGTAAAAGCACTTGCCATGCAGGTCTGACAACCTGCGTGCGATCCCAGACCCCACTTAAAGGTGGAAGGGAAAATGCGTACTTGTGCTTGGTCTCGCCCTCGCTCACATACAGTGATAGTAGTAATAACTAAATCGCTAATGAGTTCTAAACATCAGAGTTATTTTGGTCGATTAGGTGAATGGGAAACTCGAAGGTTCTCCTTGCCAGCATTATACTAAGGTATCTTAAGGCCATTCTTCTCTTGTGACCTATGCATATGATAAGTGTTTTGAAAAATTAGTTACGTCTTTCCGGATGGTTGTTACAATTGATAGTAACTTGTCTTGGGAAAGACAAATTGTTGTTGTTATTCCCAATCGTGTTCTGATTGATGGGCTGCAGGAAGTACAACAGCACTGCCTCCTAAAGTACTGCTCAAATGAGGAGTTTTTACATTTTATTGTTTTATGAGCCTTATTTACTAAAAATATTACTGAAGAATGAATAATTCTTTGTGGGCTATAGCTGTTGATGTTTGACCATGTTACCAATCAAGACTGATTTTTAATTCTTACAAAAATGTTTAATGGGAATTCTGGCAAGTGTTCCTATAGCATGTCATTTTGTTATTTTAGTGACTAAGCAGTTGTAAATGAAAGGTAGTGTTGCCCTTTTAGTAATTGTGGTTGCTCATTTTGGGTGAACAGTCCACGAGTGGCATCCCTGTTAGTGACGTGGGATCTGATGCCTTACTGACAGGTGTTACACAGTCTTCAGACTCATTGATCTGTCTAACATTTTCAAAATGGTTTCATAATACCTGCAAAATGCTATTTCCTAAAGTTGTGTAGATCTTGTGTGTGATACCAAGAAATACAATTTGCTTAATATTATTACCAGTCCCAAAAGTGATTGATAAAAGATTTTCCCCCTTGTTTCAGAATTAATTTTTTGTTGTTGTTTTTTGTTTTTTACTTGAAAGTCAAATTTTATTTTATTTTATTTTTAAAGATTTATTTTATGTTTGAGTGCTCCATCTGCATGTACACCCTTAGACCAGAAGAGGGCATCAGATCCCATTATAGATCCCATGTGGTTGCTAGGAATTGAACTCAGGACCCAGGTCTGGAAGAGCAGCCAGTGTTCTTAACCTCTGAACCATCTCTCCAGTCCAAAAGTCAAATTTTATCTCTGGTAATAAGTATTATGCATTGTGTCCCTTAAAATGACTCTGTTCATCTTCAAAAATACATGTATAGTAGAGTTTGATGGTCATTCTTTCAAGTTAAAGTGACTTACTTAAAACACATGACCACTATTAGTTGTACCAGACTTTTTCTTTTGAGTCACCAAAATCCTGACAGGGCTGACCTAGCTTAGGCTCATTTCTGGCTGTTTTTAACTTACACTCACCTGTTTCTCTTTATCTTCCTTTTGCTTTGGGACATTTTACCTTTCTTTGCTTCTGTATATCTTACTTTCACTGCTTATCTGATTGGCTGGCTGCTGCCTGACTTCTTGCCTGATTTCCTCATTCTCGTCTCTTTCTTTCTCTTGTTCTTCTCTCAAGCCTAGATTTCTCTTTTTTATTCTCTCTGCCAGCCAGCTCCACCTGTTCCTGTCCTACCTAGCTTTTTACTTTGACCAATCAGGTGCTTTAGGCAGGCAAGGTAAAACAAATGAAAAACATTTTTACATAATTAAACACACATTCTTACATTGTTAAACAAATGCAGCATAAACAAATATAATACATCTTCACATAGTCAAAGTAATATTCCATTACAATTAGCTCACAACTCAGAAGAGATATACCAGGTACTGCTAGTAACGAGAAGTTTGCTCCTTACTGACCACGGTGGTATTCAGAGATAGGAATTGGATGGGACTGACTTCTTACTGCTTTATGAAGGATATTCTAAATGAAAACTGGCTTTTCCCAATGGGTGTGATAGTGAAGAACACAGGACAGACATGGTGCTGCTGCTTTGCATGTTTCATCAAGAACTGCTTTACTGGTCATTGTTCTTTCTGTCAGGAGTGCAGACCTCAAAGGAAGGACAAGAACAGAAACATTTCAGTATGAAAACAGTAACTTGGTATTTCATGAAATGAGCTTATAGACAGTGTTAGGTTTTATAGTTCAAATTGGAATCTAGGCTGTCTCATATTTTGAATGAGCATTTAAAACCTGGATCTGACAAGATTCTCGGTGCATAAAAGCCCTTACTGCCTAAGCCTGACAACTGAAGTTTGATCCCGAGAAACAATTCCTGAAAGCTATCATATAATGATGATGATAAAATTGATCATCCTAGCACTTACCTAGCATAAGTACTGTTAAGAAAGTTTCTGCCCTGGAACAAAGGAAGCAAAGCCTTTGTTTAAAGGAATTAGATAGAACCCTGTAACATGAGGGCCAGCTTGTTGGGGTTTCTGTCCCACCCGGTACCCCACAGCCAGCAAACCCCAAGGAAAATCACACACAAGACTCCATAAGATTATAAACTGATTGGCCCTTAGCTCCGGCTTCTTATTAGTCCTTGTAACTTATATTAACCCATTATTCTGATCTATGTTAGGCATATGGCTTGGTACCTTTTTCAGTTAGGCAGGTTACATGTTGCCTCTTTGGTGGTCTGCGCAGGAATGGCGGAGGGAGCTTTCTGTTTCCCAGAATATTCCTGTTCTCATCACCCCGCCTCTACTTCCTGTCTGGTTGACCCACCTATACTTCCTGCCTGGCCAGGAAGTATATTAAATATACTTTTTTATATTTTATAGCGTTTTATTAAAATACATGATTGACAGAATACAGACAATTCTCCCACACCATTTCCCTCTTTTTTTTTTAAACAAAGGAAAATACCCATAGTCCATTTGTTGGGAATGTGGGCGTAGTATTTCAGGCTACTTCCTGCTGGTTGGGGGCGCTGATGATCTTATGGGGACCTAAAGAAAATTTAGAGTTATAATCAAGTCCTGACTGGAGTATCCTGTGAGTCTTGATCATCTCAGGCAGCAGTCTTGAATCTGTTCTGGATGTAGAATTCAGACATCTGGGCCATCTGTTCCTGTCGGAGATTTCTCAGGTGGCCTTCCTTGATGGAACCTGATTTTTCTTAACTCAGAATGAATCCACAGCTTCCCATTTTCTGTGGAAACAAAAGCAAAATCTCTTCTCCAAAGTAACATACCTTTTGACTTCAGTTTTGAAGCCAAGGTATTTTCAAAATATCTATCTTGGGTTAGTTCAGCAGCGTTTATAAACAAAAGTCCTTTAGCAGCTGTTGCTCCTTCCTCAGCAGTCAAACAATTCAAAGAGAGCATAATAGCATACAGTGTCAAGATTCTCTGTATATTTTCCATCTTTTGTGGCTTTATTTCAACCTCTATTTCTTTTAATTTTACTTGTAACTTTTGGCTTTTTGAGACAGGTTCTCTGTATATATCTTTGTCCTGGAATAACTCTGTAGACCAGGCTGTCCTTGAACTCACAGAGATCCTCCTGTCTCTGCCTCCCCAGTTCTGGGATTAAAGGTGTATGCTACCACACCTTGAACTCACAGAGATCTGTCTGTCCCTGCCTCCCAGGCATTGGGATTAAAGGTGTGCACTACCACACCTTGAAGTCACAGAGGTCAATCTACCTCTACCGCTTGAAGTCACAAAGGTCAATATACCTTTGCCTCCCAGGCATTGGGATTAAAGGTGTGTACCACCACACCCTATGTCTCCCTTTTCTTTTTTATTTTTAATGACTTTAACCTTTAGCCTGCATATATTTTTAACACACTGTAAACCATTTAGAGGTTTTCTTCTTCTTTGAATCTCTCTTTACTGTATATCTCTCTTTTTCTGACCACATGAGTCTTTAAGGAGAGGACTAAAACTGTGGCTTTTACGTCTGGAATTAGCTCATTCCTTAGCTTTCCAGCCTCATGGCTGAGGTACCAGCCAGAGCTGCAGTTCACTGCCACAACTCTATGGCATTTCAAGGTCCTTGCTAGCAAGCAAGCTGTAGTATTCTGCTCACAGACCATACTCAGTCGGACTGCCTGCCTAAGAGTCAGAGTTTGCCCTGGCAGGACGGCCCAGAAAGCCGGCATTTTAAAACAGTGCAGCTTTTTTCCTGCTACTGCTGAAAACCCGAAAAGCATGTGTTCAGCTTTTCATCAACACCGTTTAAGTGCTTGGCGGCAGGACCTCTTAAAAGAGCTGCAAGGTTTTGCAGCTAAAGCTGAGTCAGGAAGCCTCTCTTAGATGAGAGTGCTTGCTTGCCTCTAGCAAGCAGAACAGACCCGAGAAATTGCTGCTACCAAGAAAATATGCTTTACTCTATTCTTTCCCAAGCTTTCTCAGGCTTTCTGTGTATTCAGTTATCTACGTCTGGGCGCCATATGTAACATGACGGGTGGGCTTCTTGGGGTTTCAGTCCCACCCGGTACCCCACAACCGGCAAGTCCCAAAGAAATCACAGCTACAGGCATTTCCTTGGCTTGTGCCCGGATTTTATGCCCCAGTTTATCAGTTGAGTTGCTGGTCTGTGTTAACATGTCCTGACACCCTTTACCCTTCTAGATATTGCTGATGTTTCTATGAAGCAGTGTCAACAGCGTTATGAAGACATGAAAGGTCGTCGTGATAATGAATATATTTTTAAGGCAGAATTTATAACTGCTGACTGCTCAAAGGTACAGAATATTGTTTTAATTTTGAGATTTATTTTTATTTTATGTGTATGAATGTTTGCCTGTGTACGTGTTATGTGCACCACAAGCATGCTTGATACCTGTGGAGGCCAGGAGAGGATATCAGATCCCCTGGAACTTGAAATCAAAACTATATCCTCTACAAGAGCAGCAAGTGCTCTTAACTGCTGAGCCATCTCTGCAGCCTCATCTTTTAAAATTTATTTTCTTCCTACAGTTGCAGGGCCTTGTGCATCCTGCATCTCTCATTTATAAAATTGGTTTGTTTGTTAAAATGTGTTTTAAAACATTAAAAATCTTAAGGCATGCATTTTTGATTTCTACTGGAAATTTATCCTTGGGTACTTTTAGGAAAGTTTACTTTTAATAATTGTGTATTTGGAATCACTTTATTTCTTTTTGATTTGGTCAAGATTTGTTTTATAATAGTCACCCCTTAGTGTTCTTAGGGCATTGGTTTCAGGAGCCCCAGAGTCCACAGAAGTTCAAAGTCACTTCCATAAAATGGCATATGTGTTTGTGGATAGCTACACATGTACTTGTGCATTCTTTAGAAGCGTGTTTAGATGATTTTATTATTGTACCTAATACAGTGAAAATGCTGAGTCACTAGTCACACTATATTGTTTAGGAGGAAAGTGTCAAGGGGAAGAAGTCTACAGACTTGTTTAAAAAATAAATTTTCTGGGCTGGAGAGATGACTCACCTGTTAGGAGCATTGAGTGTTCTTCCAAAGGACACAGGCTTAATTCCCAGCATTCACATGGCAGCTCACAACTGTTTGTAACTCCAATTCCAGGTGACTCAACAGCTGTGAGTCAACACCCAAACAAAGTACATAAAATAAAAATAAGAATTAAAAAAACAATTTGTCTTTTGTATCTTCAATCCATTGTTGATTGAATTCACTGTTACACAACCTAAGGATTTGAAGGGCTGCTTTATTTTCCAATAGACCTGGACTTAAGTGTGTTTCATTCAACTTGTTTATAAGGATAGTTTCCTATCATGCTGGAATCGTTGTATGTGTTCTACCTTCCATTTGTTTCTGAAAGTCCAAACTGAATTGATGTCTCACCGGGAGGGAGGGAACTTGATGTTCTTTGTCTTTAAGTATTATATTTTAAAACATTTAAATGGTACCTGTTTAGTGGTCACTTCGTTTGCAGCCTTGAAAATGAGGATGAAAAGGAATGTACTACTAAAATAGTGCCTAGCTAAGCACTGTTTCTTTTAGATGCCAAAGACTGAATGTTTTTTGATTTTCATTACCCAAGTTATTGTTGAATGTCAGTTTATTTTTGTTCTCAAGACCAATTGAATTGTTATACAACATTTTAATTACTATTATGTGAATATAATGTGCATGTGCACACATGCGTGCATGTGCACATGTGAAGGTGGGGCTTCATTTGTGCCATAGGTAACACAGGTAAAGCCTCCCTTGTTTGCTTCTGTTCTTTATATCCTGGGCTAGTTGGCCTGTTCGCTTCCAGATAATTTTGTGTCCACCATATCTCGTAAGAGTGGTGGAGCTTCTGACATATCCTAGCATGTCCTGATTTACATGTATTTGAAGGACCCAAAGTCAGATTGTCAGACTTGCAGGGCAAGAGCTTTTACCCACCGAGTCATCTCTTTATCCAGACATACATGTTTGACATGATTTCAGAATCTCCAGATTTTTTAAGCACTATGAAAATCAGAATCAGGATTATTTTATGTGTGTGGGGGTAGGCAGGTGAGTGCATACTCATGTAGATACACGTTTGTGTGTTGGTCAGGCGTGAACTGTGGGTATTGCTCTTTGTTTTCTGAGCAGAATTTCTCCTAGGGGCCTTGGGATCTTTGATTAAGCTGCCTGCCCTGTGAACCCCTTGCTACTGCTTCTGTCTCTCCACTCTTGGGATTACAAGCACACAACATTGCACCCAGCTTTTTACATTGCTCCTGGGACTAACTCAGAAATTTTACTTGTGTTACCTGCTCAGACCTGCAAAATATTTTAGGCCAGGGTAAGAGAAAACATTTTTTTTTTCAAATGATCCTTGTTATAATATGTACATGACAAGAGAAAGAAGAAGGCAAAGATTGGTGAAAACTATTGGTTACTGTCAGGGAATGTCTACCTTAAGAACCCAACATTCTGATAATTTGCAAAAAACACTTTTAATCTATGTTGTATTAGTTTGGAATCTTAACCCATTCACATTTGTTACAGGAACTTTTGGTTGAAAAGTTCCATGATCCAGAAATGCGCTTTGACATCTGCAGTTGTCAATTTGCTTGCCATTACTCCTTTGAGTCTTCGGAGCAAGCTGATATGATGCTTAGAAATGCTTGTGGAACGCTTAACCCTGGGGGCTATTTTATTGGTACCACCCCCAATAGCTTCGAGCTGATGTAAGTAACTTGAATCTAATAAAATTCATCAGATACCTTTTTAAATTGCATCATGTAGTTTTTCACATGCGTGATATTACTACTAGGATTAAAAATGTTAATCATAATTCTTTTATTTTTATTGTGGAATAACCCTAATAGAAAACGTCTTGAAGCTTCAGAAACAGAATCATTTGGAAATGAAATATACACTGTGAAATTCCAGAAGAAAGGAAGTTATCCTTTATTTGGCTGCAAATATGACTTCAACTTGGAAGGTGTTGTGGATGTCCCTGAATTCTTGGTCTATTTTCCATTGCTAACTGAGTAAGAATGTCTTGATCTGTTGCTTTTTCTTTCCCCTCATTCCTTATCTTTAGGGAACAACATTAATATTGCCATTCATATTGTATTTGAAATGCAATACCAAGAAAAAGCCTTAGCTGCAGAATTGGTAGATTTCTTTCCTAAGAGAAGAGAGCCAACTGCTTCTACTCAGCACAGAAGATAAGTGACCCTACAGGGAGCAAACACAACTTTGATGATATAAAAATGAGAAAGTCTAAGAGTCTAAGATCTTCACTATGAAAGAGATTATCAAAAGTTTGTATTTCAGTATAGCGGAGAAACTGCCCAACTGCCCAGTGTTACTGTTGTTTTGGTATTTTCCCTTTTTTTTTTTTTTTTTTTTTTTTTTGAGACATAGTCTCTATTATGTAGTCTTGGCTGTCCTAGAACTTGCTATTAGACCAGGCTGACCTTAACCCTCACAGAGATTTACCTACCTCTGTCTCCATAGGGCTGGGATTAAGGCATATACCATCCTGCCTAGCTTCCTACAGTGTTGATTATAAAGTCCTGATTTATAGTTATAGTCTCCCCATGCACATTAATTCCTAAGAATTCTAGTGAACTGCAAGCACAGGAGAAATTGAAGGTACTGAACTTTAATCATGTGGCTTCAAGACCTTCTCTTTCTCTCTCTCTCTCTCTCTCTCTTTCTCTCTCTCTCACTCTCTCTCTCTCTCTCTCTCTCTCTCTCACACACACACACACACACACACACTAATCTGCAGGATTTTTCTGCCAGCAGAGTACAACAAAAGCCAATGTAGATGGAGGCTCTATTCAGATGAACAAATTTCACTTTGTAGTCTATGGAAACAGATATCTTCTATTTTGAATGTTAACCAAGGAAGTAGGACTGTTTTTGCTTACCTAGATTGGCTGGTGATTATTTTAGTCTAGACTCAGTTACCTTGTAAAAGTAAGCATAATGTTTTCATTATGTGCTAGGTTGGTGGCTCATCCGTGTAGTCCCATGCTCAAGAAACTGATACAGGAGGCCAGCCTGGGCTACAGTGTAAGACTGTCTCAAAAACAAGGAAAGAAAGTAGAGAACTGGGGAAAGAGGGAGGGAAGGAATGACAAAGTCAAGTAATGAAGACATGACAAGACATAAAAATAGTGAATACACTGTTATAAGCAGCTAACAGAATTTAAGATTTTAAATCAATTTGCTTTTTATTTTAAAGCTTTGGGAAACTCTTTCCTTTCAACTTCATGAAAGAAGAAATTAGAGGTTTTGGTTTTTTAAAATTTGTTTTGTATTTTAGCTTGGTGCTTTTGCTTAACACAATTAGTAGTTTTAGTAGACCCCCCCCAACAATAGTATAAAATGAAATACTGTTGTTAAACAAACTTAGCATTGTTTTTTACTTAAATTGCTTGAACATAATAAACTTATAAAGTTGTAGATTCCTACTTTTTTTTTTTTTTCGAGACAGGGTTTCTCTGCAGCTTTGGAGCCTGTCCTGGAACTAGCTCTTGTAGACCAGGCTGGCCTCGAACTCATAGAGATCCACCTGCCTCTGCCTCCCAAGTGCTAGGATTAAAGGCATGCACCACCACCATCCAACATCTTACTTTAATATATAATTATTTTTGTCTCATTAAATTTTTTTGAGAATTTCATGTAAGAGTTACAGTTTTGATGGAATCCATCTCTCTCTCCCTAAATCAACTTCTTCCCGTGTTCCTCACACATCCTCAAAAATTATTTTCCTTTTCTATGATGATGATGGTGATAGTGATGTAACCTATGAAGTCCACTTAGGTTCTCATGGCCTTTTCCATTGCTTGCGTTTATGATGGGACCTGGTCATCTGGAGTTAGTTTGTGTATTAGGTAAGAGTTTCTAGACTACCTATATTCAGTGGAAGTCTGTTTCTGATTTTGCTGTTAACGAAGCATGGCTCATTTTCTCTTAGCTAGGAGGAGCTTAAATACTTGTTTTAGGTTTTGACTGATGAGGCTCAGGTGATTCTATCTAGATTTTTCAATAGATTAGTTATACTCAGTGTGTTTGAATGGCTCTGTGAGGTCCCTGGACAGGTTCAGGTGTGGCTGAGGTGTCTAAGTACTAATGGAAGTGTAGGCCAGTGCTCAGACAAGGTTCTAGAGTTGAGGAGCGTGGAGAAGAAACCTTACCAGCAGTGTATCACATGTCGAGCAAGAACTGAAGAGAGTGTTTCATTGTGGGGAGCTGAGGAGTCACACCAAAAAAAAACCTGCTTATGTTCCTCCTCCTTGGGGCTGAGACAGGAGAAGGGCAATGTGGTGGAATAAAAGACATGAAGCCTAGTGTATTAGTTTTAAAAATATATTTATTTGGCAGGCATTTGCTGATCTAAATATTAAACCTAAACATGTTGAGGTGGAGATGACTTCTTGCCATTTAACTAAGAAACTAAGCAATAATGTAATGAGCTTATTGAAAAGTCTATTCAAATTGCTCAGATTGGGTTCTTTGTAATGATGAGTTTTTTCCTTTTTTTTTCCCTCCTCGCATGTAACTTGCTTTTGTTTCTAGTGGCTTGTCTTGATATTTTATAATTGAGTTGCCTTGAATAAAAGAAGTACCTGTGTTCACATTGTCTCTCTAAGAAGAGCTAGCTGAGTTAACAAGCCAATCTGTGTGTGTCTTCTGCAGTGTAGCAGTCCAGGACCCTCTGATGTGCCTAAGACATTCTGTTTTTCCCCTTTTCCCACTACCTGAAATCATGTCCAGGAAGAGAATTGGAAAGAGTAATGTTTAAGTAGAATGGAAGTATGTGTGTAGAAGACAGCAAGGATGTTCCTACAAAACTGAGGAAGTGGCGAAGAGACTGAGCCAAGCAGAAGAAAACTAGTGGTGCTGAACCGAGGACTAGCTGCTAAGACACAGCAGTATCATTGTAGAGAGTGGCTCGGAGATCATGTTTAAGGATTTTGAATTATGTCCTGGAGCCCAGTGAAAGGAACTAAATAGGATAGCAATATAACCATCTCTGTATATCTGAAAGCTTAATCTGGCTGTACCTGGGAAAATTCACGGAGGGAAAGAAGGACTGGAAGCAGGAGGTAGCATGATGGTGCTAGTTACTGGTCCAGGATGCCAATGAAGGGATGTGAGAAGTGGAGCCATTTGAAGTAGACATGCTGTGGGTCAGAGAAAGAGGGCTGTATGATGGATTCCAGGGAGCGTAGAAAATAGATGAATTCACTGCAGTGGTGAAGATAAGACGTTAGAGTGTTTGACACATCCCAGGATGGCATTTGGTGAGCAGTGATGTTAATCAGCGTCACAGAAATGGAACTCACGGCTTCCAACATTCCATGTAATTGGTACAAAGAAGTAAATAGGTTCTGGGGCAAACCTTAGCATTTAGAAGTTAGGTTAAAGTGGTGCACGACTTTAATCCCAGTATTTGGGAGGCAGACAGGTGGATCTCAGTGAGTTTGAGGCCAGCCTGGACTGCTAAGTGAGTTCCAGGACAGCTAGTACTCTTACACAGAGAAACCTTGTTTCAAGAAAACCAAATTACAAAAAAAAAAAAAAAAAAGAAGAAGAAGAAGAAGTTAGGTTAAAGGGAGTCATGTAAAACAATCTGCAAGAAGCCATGCAAGATACAGTTTTGACAAAATAGTTTATTTTGCTAGAAAATATAGGAGATGAAAATGGTTAAGAAAGACACTGACATTATTGCAGATGTGAGGAAGTAAATAAAGTAGAACTAAAGCTAGAAAAGGGCTCCCTATGGCCCTTTGTCCCATGACCTCTTTATCACGCTAAAGGAAAACCTGTCTGCAGCTTATGGGTGTGTACAATGCTTGTTTCTTCATAGGCATCTAGGTTGTTATTCAGCCTTCATTTGTGTTATTCTGCTCAACATAAGTAAATAGAGCAGTTTTAGTTAAGCCCAGATGTCACTGCTATCATTTTCAAAGTGAGCTTTATGAAATTAAAGGACCAGAGAGATGGCACTTGGTGCCAAGCATGATGACCTGAGTTCAGACCCTGAACCCACGTTGTGAAAGGAGACAACCAGTACCTCAAGCTGTGCTCTGCCCACCCACAAGCACACACATATGAATTTGATGAAATACTTTTAAAAAAAAAAATTACAAACATTTGAAAGCCTTTCTATTAATCTTTTTTGGCCAGAATGGCAAAGAAGTACAATATGAAGCTAATATATAAAAAATCATTTCGGGAGTTCTATGAAGAAAAGATTAAGAACAATGAAAACAAACTACTCTCAAAACGAATGCAGGCCCTGGAGGTAAGTGTACAGAAAAAGTGTAGAGATTCTAGGATGTGGTGAATTTGTTTGGTATTTTGGACCCCTTTCAATGTTCTTCCCACATTGTGTAGTTAGGGATGCAGTTTATAGTTGCTGTGGATACTCTACCTTCAAGGACGGAGGGACATCGAGACCAAGGATAGATCCAAAGTAGAGATTTTAAGGGGTTCTTGATATGTGCAGAAAGTCTTCTGAAGCATATGGCCTTTAGCTGGCCGAGCTTTCAGCACTAGCCCTTTCCCACTCCCATGGTCCTCAGAGGAGGGAGAATGACTGGGAGGCCAAGGGCCAGAACACTAGGATCAAAACAGTCTGATGCCCACCTCTGCTTTCACTGAGAACTCTATTGGGAGGCATTTCTGGAAGGGTTACTCGCTTGAGAGGTGCTAGCTTATATGCATTATGTAAGGTTTTATTGCTGTTGGGAAGGGCAGTTTTGTAGTTCTTACCATTTACTTGGGTCATCTGTCAGTAAAGGATGAGGTGTTTGCAGGTACAGAGACCATCTCAGGGTGGAGCTGGTAACTTGTAAGGTGCCTGGATCACAGCAGAGTAAAATTCTGAAGCTTTGGATATGGTGACGACTAAAGTCGAGAGATTGAAACTCAAAGGAAACTTTTAAAATTGCTTTTGTTCAGATTGGATAAGGAAGTAAAGCTGTGAATGCTAAGGAGCCACAGGCTTTTTGTGTGCATTTCAGTTTTCATTTTTTCATAGAAGGTCTTGTGGTCTAGGCAATGCTTCTGTCTCTTCTGAGTACTGGGCTTATAAGCACTTGTTACTGGGTACAGCAGCCCAGTATATGCTAAACAGCAAACCAGCAGCTGTTTCCAATACCTGGATCTGCAGTAGGATGTTTATAAAGAAAAAAGAAAAGAGGCCCTGGGGGATGACTCACTTGGAAGACCCGAGTTAGAGCCCAAGAACCTTTAAAATTCTGGGCACTGTTGCGGGCAGAGATGACCTAAACACTGAGCTCCAGAAATGTGAGAGACCCTGTTTCAAAAATGAAGATGGTTGATCCATCCAAGGTTGACCTCTGACCTTCACCTACGCCTACCCTAAAGACAAAGGGGAAAAGTGAGTAAAGTAGACATTTGTGAATCAATCCCATGGAAGTTTCTTAGGACAACCTAGATTTTAAAGGGTCGACATCCAACCCAGTTTCTTAGAATACTAAAGACAAAAAAGACTTGTAGTCTATGATATATTGCTTAAAATTAATTAAACATAGCATAGGAAATAATTTAGATAACTACCTTTTCTCCACAATTTTTAGATTATAACAGAAAAAGCCCTTTGCCAGAAGTCAAAATGTAAATATTTTCTGCTAAATGACCCCTTTGAGGATTAAATTATGTAGTTTGTCCAAGATGTAAACAGTCTAAGATTATAGAAGTTGACCAGCATTTTGGAGATATTTCCCTCCCCCGCCATTTTCTCTTAGGCGAAAACTGTAGGGTTGGAGAAATGGTTCAGCAGGTCAGAGCACTTGCCATTCTTGCAGAGGAGTTAAGTTTGATTCCCAGCACCCATATCAGGTGGCTTGCAACCATCTGTAATTCTAGCCTCAGGGCATCCCCAAGGGCCTTGTGGTCTCTCCAGGTACTGAATCATTCACACTTGTGCACGCATGCACACACACACACACACACACACACCTTTAAAAGAAAAAAAGTATGTGTAGTTGTGAAGTATTACTTAAGGATTGTTCTTACCATTTCAGTGGTTTACCCTGTTACAAATGTAGCGAGATCTCTTAACTAGAATTTGTGTTTGCTTCCTTAGCAATACCCTGCAAACGATAACTCTAAACTGGTCTCTGAAAAGGTCGGTGATTACGCACATGCTGCTGAGTACATGAAGAACAGTCACGTAAGGTTACCTCTGGTAAGTTCCCAGCTTTCCGAGTTAGAAAAGGAGTATGCGTGTGTGGAGAACAGGGTATTTCGCTTGTTCACAATATTTAGGTTTACTTAAGTATTACAAATTTGGCAAATAGTTAATCTGTTTTCCCTAAGTTGTGAAAACTTGATGCTGTAGCACGTAAAATGTATTTCAGTGAGTAGCATTGAGAACTTTTATAAGGCAGCCAATGGTGGGGAAAAATCATAGCCTTGGTTTGCAAGTTTCTTTGTGAACTCAGTGTTCCAGAGACAGAATTTCAATTTCCCTGAACTTAAGTGGGGAATGGGAGAATAATATATTTTCATTTGTATTGACTTTGTGCAGGCTCTCACTTTTAAAAAATTAAATATATGATAGTAAGAGAAGCCATAACAGACCCAGTGAAAATTGCAGACATTTTCATAGCACATTTCTCTTAACATCTTAGAATATTCTTTTCGTGATATTTCTTCAAACTTACTAGGTCCTAGAACTGACACTGGATCTTATGAAGTCATGGCCTGAGCAAAACTGCACATACCTTACCTTACCAAAATTATTGTTTTGTTTTTGTTTTTTCGGCAAGTGTAATTTATTTTGTGATGCACACTCTTGCTGAATGACTGTTTTCTTGCTAAAACATTTGCTACTTCCCAATACTATGGACAATGAATCTGTGTAAACTAAGACTATGTCTTTAGTTTTTTTCAGAAAGTTGATCTTACTGATTGTTTTTAGATGTGTATATCATAATGTTACGTCCATTGTATGTGTTTTATAGTGAAGTTAGGGCATTTTGCCACCTGTCTTCTATTAAAAATAAGCTTGCTTTTACTTCTGCATTGAATCTAAAGTTTCCCTTCTTATAATTTTAGGGAACCTTAAGTAACTCAGAATGGGAAGCTACAAGTGAGTATATCATCCAGCTACCTGACAATTTCAGTGATTCTGTTTTAAGGGAATCATTAAAACTTGAAAATGTTAAGAGTTTTTCTGATATATTTTGTGTTTTTGCTGATACACGTATTTCCCATATATAATATATGTATCTTTATACTCTCCATTAGCACATCTGCATAGTGACAAATGAAAATACGTGGAGGCTATTATTTAATAGACTTTCATGAGCATTCGTAAATATTTTCTTTACATATTTATTAATAAACAGCTGCCTCTGTTTTCACCTTGGGGTCTGTTGAATTGTTTGGCTTATAGGATATTCCCGTGGAGTTACTTTTTGGCCATTTATATGGTGACAGCAAAGGGGGAATAAAATAGAGCACTAAGCAAAGAAGAGTAAGCAGGACTCTTTGGGAACATGTGTTTGGAAACAAGTGTTACACAGATACATTCTGACATGAGGCTGGTGCCTCAGAGGATCCTATATGGTCCTAGGCTTCTGCAGCAGAGTGATGGAGTCCTCTACATCAGCTTGCAGATCCTCAATGTTAAGATAAAAGGATTCTGATCTTTTATCGTGGGAACTTGACCACAGTTTCTGCTGTCTGTTTAATTGATTGTTGATTATCTTGAAGGCAGAAGTAGTAAGCGGAGACATACTATTTAGTAAACACTGAATGTTGACTTATAGAATTATATGAAAGAACTTCAGGGGATTAAAACATAGACAAGTCTGCCTTCTAGAGTTTATCTAGTGGAAGAATCAAACTCAAATACTGTCATATAATTTAAATGCTGAGGAGAGGAAAGTAGATGGGGATTTTAAAGGTAGGTCTGTCTGAGAAGTAATAATATTAATTGAGTGTTGAGTAGTATCTGAAGCTGCAGTAAACATTTCATCTGTTGTAATTCATTTAATCCCCCAAACATATGAGTTGGCTATTATGTCGTCACAGGAGAATGCATTTTAAAGTTTGGGCTTAATGACAGAGCTAATTTGATTGACTGAATTCCAATTCTCATAATCATTACCTCATCAAAGTCCTTACTATGAGCAGGATTTCAGAAATTTTGAGTTTCAAATTGTGTGTCTAAAATCAAATTCTAGTGTTCTTAGTGTTGTTAAACGGCTAAGTAGATTTTTGTTTTGAAATATACTTAAATGATTCTATATCTACCCCAAAACCACTCAAGTAATAAAACTCAGAAAATAAGTAATGTCTTTCTTTCTCAGTCTGCTTGAAAATGTTTTTCATGATGATAGGAATAACTAACTCTGACTTCTCTTGCTTTTTTTCTAGGTATCTACTTGGTCTTTGCCTTTGAGAAGCAGCCGTGAACAGTTAGTTGCCTCAGAGCAGCACTCCATCCTTACAGATGGAACAGACCATCTCAGATACATTTGACAGCTGTTTGTTTATTTTACTAGTAAGTTCTCAATGTGTAGGATGCTGCCAACAAGTCCAGTGTATAGATTTGACACTGTCTGTGGCAGGTTAGCTTTGTGTGTGTGTGTGTGTGTGTGTGTGTGTGTGTGTGTGTGTGTGTGTGT